TATTATATCTTCTAAAGCATCTAGCTGGTAAGCAATGGAAACTAGCATTAACCCTAAATTCCTGAAAGGTTGCTACTTTGTTTTTTGTTTTGCCCCCTGCTTCTGGGCACCTTAAAAAATACCTGCCAGATGATCATGAAAAGGTATATTCCAGCCACTCTCTGAAAAGAAGATTTGGGGTCAAACCATCGAACATAGGTCCAGCTAGCAGGAGTGAACTGCAGCACAGCTCTCTTGATCTTCCCAGTGGTTGTGTGAATGTCCCTGCAAGACCAGAATGGCTCCAGTGAAAATCCAAAGAGATAAAGAGGAAGGCCGGGGTGGGGGTCGGGGGGAGGACGGGACAAACGAAAAATAAGAAAAAACCCCTGTGCATTGATGATTTTATAATGAATGTTCAGAAAAAATAGATTGCTTTTCATTTGAATAGTCTCTCAAAGGTCTCTTCTCCCCATTCACAGGTGAAGTGGGTGGCAGAAGCACACTGGATAAGGAATTTCATTGACAGGCACCTCGCAGCACTGTCATCGCAGTCAGAGATCAGGGTATAGCTGAGCCAGGAGAGGTCTTCATCTGTGAATTTGTGACAAAAGCAGTGAAGCATTTAAAGACAACCTGGAATGAGCCCAGGAAGGGTGCAGATGCCAGCTGGGAGGCCATCCCTTCCCACTGCTCACCTCCCAAAACGGCACCTGCCCTGTGTTCTTGAGATCACCTACATCACTTCTTTACCCAATTTCTTTCCCAGAGAAGTGAACAGTTTGGGTTGATGAACAGTGACATTTAACCTTCCTTCATTTTAATCCCAGAAATCATTCAATTAAAAGTTTCATACTCCCATGGTAGAAGCACACAGTCCCACATTTTACAAATGAGAACAGTTAAGCTCAGAGAGAGCAAGTGGCTGACGCAGACTCGCCTCGTCAGTGTCAGAGCTGGGTACAGACTCAGCCCTCTCACACTAGTCTAAGAAAGCCGAAACCCAGGGTAAATGCCATTTGATAACTGGTAAAGAGTCTTTAATTCAACAAATATTTATAGCATGGGACTTTATGTCTCTGACATTGAGCTAAATGCTGAAGGCACAAGCACCAACCATCAGGCCTTTTGTTCCAATGGGTGGGAGCAGAGGGAGGGGTAGAAACCAGGGCTATTCCTGCAGCCACCCACCTACCCATCAACAAGTCTGCACTGAGGAAATACCACAGAAAGATCTGTGGCACAACGGCAGCAAAAAATAGGCACTATTCAAAAATAAACAAGAACTACAAAGTGCCTGCATTTAAAAAAATGGCAAAAGTGCATGGAAAGACCTAGAAGAAAATAAGAACAAAGAGAGACACGACGTGATCAGGAATCAAAATATTTAACATAGTGAAGAGGGTAATTCAACTTAAGTTAATCTATATTTACTTATACATTTAATATGGCTTAAAAAAACCACCAATGGGATTTCTTGTTTATTAGTTGGGCTTATGTCTTGGTAACTTGACAAAATGATTCTGAAGTTGAATTTGAAGCATAAATGTATGAAAACAAGGAAACATTGTGGCAGCATTTAAGGAATCAGACGTCCTGTGCAAATGCAGGCTCAGCTGCTTGCTCGCTATGCGCCCTTAAGCAAACTACTAAACCTAAGCCTCTGTACTGTCAGCCCTAAAAAGAAGGGAATAACAATAATATCCCTAGGACTGAGGTAAGGCTCAAAGGAGATACTGCTTATAAAGCTTGCACAGAGCAACACTGGGAGCACAGCTGCTATTTTTGTTACATTACATACTGCCTTAAATACATTAAAAAATGTCCTTTCAAGTCAGTGGCCAAAGACAGGATTATTAATAAAAGAGATGAGGAATACTGGTCAATCAATGGCAAAAACACTGTAAAATCTCAAATCTCCCTCTTATATCCTATACCAAAATAGATTTGAGATAGGCTAAATAAGTTATCATAAAAAAAGTAAAGCCATTAAAGAACTAGAAGAAAATACAGGTTAATGTTTACCTGAATAAAAAGATTAAAAATATTTTTGAAATTTAAATGAAAAATCTACCACAAACTAAATTAAAAGGGGATGACAAAATGGAAAATCAAATCACATTTATGACATGTTAATAACCTTCATCTATAGCAGGCACTAATAAAAGAGGAAAAATCCAATAGAAATAGATAGAACTCCATTATCACACGATTTTATGTGTGATAAAATTGACAAAGGTTTAAAAATACAATTTAAGGAAATAGTGAAATGGATACACACATAGATATATTATAGGTGAGATTATAAATTGGTGTACTCTACTTCTAAGAATTTATTTACATCCCCCCCCCCAAAAATCAGAGATGCATACAAAAATATATGTCCAAGAATGTTCGCTCTAGCCTTCTTAATAAAAATGAAAAACCTTGAAACAACTAAAGGACCATAAAAGGGAACTGGTTACATACTTTATGGTTTATCCACATGTTGGGATATGAAGAAGCTCTTTAAAATTTTAGAAGAATATTTAATGATGTGAGAAAAAAATGCTATTTTGTTATATAAAATAAACTAAGTTTTTTAACACAATCAAAGCAACTATTAATACTACTTTCACTATCACGACCATTATGCTTTTCCTCCTTATCAATGACCTGGTTCTGCCACAAATCGAAAAGCAAATGTAACTAACCAGGATAAAGCAATGACAGCAGTGTGTGCTGTCCCCCATGGGAGCACAGAGGAGGGGCATGCAATTAAACCAGAGAGTCAGAGACAGCGTCTTGGAGAGGTGACAAGTAGCTGCATCAGCAGAGCAAAGGATGATCGGCCTGGCCGGTAACTACACAGGTCAAAGCCCAGGTAAAGAGAGGGGAGCATGTACATGAACACAGAACCGCAGAGGCCCGGGAAAGTGTGGAGAAGGGCCCTCCCCTGCCAAGCCCATGGATGCATACTTCATCCTAAAGTCCACAAGACACTGTCACCAGGGAATGACACGATGAACCTGATGTTCTTACAAAGATCACTCGAGCCACGGTGTGGGATGGATTAGAAGAGTTAACCCAGTGATGGGAGTCTGAATCCAGGCTGAGGCAGCGGGATAGAAAATCGGGGATGGATTTGAGAAACATTTTGAATCATGAGGGTTTTGGGACCCTCTGAATATATGGGGAGGGAAAGAGAAAATTATAAATGATTTAGCATTTTCTGGACAAATGCTTGAAATTAGGTTTATTATCATTTGTGAGTTTCAATTATTAATATGGAATTTATAATTGACTCCTTCCAAAGCACTTAAATATACATCATGAAAAATTGTGACTAATGTCCAAAAAGGTGGCGACTCACTTGAAACTTGCCCAGTGGTAAGTCCTCATCTCTAAAAACCGGCAGACGACCATGCCCAGCCAAATGCCGCCACCGTTGCACAACAGAATGTCCAGAATGACTTGATCCCACCAGCACTCGGCAAAATTAGGCAGAAGATGCATGAAGAAAAGCTGAGAAACACAAGAGACCATGGTTGGAAAAATAAACAAAACTGGGTACCGTGAAGAAACATACATTTCCTTTTAGTAATGCACTGTTTTGGAAAAAGTTGTTGACATTTCATTATTTCCTAATGTATACATAAAAAAAAAAAAAAAAAAAAAAAAAGCTCAAGATGCATTATTTAAATTAAATTTAAATGCCTTCCTGTTTCAGGTGAAAAACTATTTAATATCTAAGTTATTTGGTTAATTAAACTTTGTCACCAAGTGTTGTTATTTAGCAAATTCTTCTTATTTCTTCTTATTCCAACCTTGTTTTTCAAAATATCTTAATGCCTCTCTGTCCACTCTTACGTTAATAAATTTAGTGCAGTGAATATAATTAAAACTATCATCATTAGTATTTCATAGGGTTATTATGATTATATGCTAAAATTATAAAAATTTACCTGCAATAACATAATGAAATGTCCAGTACATTTCTAGTCATGTACATGCCCAGTACAGAGCTTGGTACAAAATCAGTGCTCAATGAACATCATTTCTCTTCCTCTCCCCCAGTGTAGCTCAGGTTGGTCCTTGCCCTCCTTCTGGAGTACAGCATTATAAATAGTGTTATGTAGGAAGTACAGAAG